CCCCCCACACACACACGCATACACACACACGCACACACACAAACACACACGCACACATAAAAACATACACATACACACACATACTCACACGCACTCGACAGTACACACACACAAACACACACACACATACTCATGCACTCATGTACGCACACACATATTCTTTTTCTCTCTCTCTTTCTCTTTCTCCTTCTCTCTCTCTCTTTCTCTTCCTCCTTCTCTCTCTCCCCCCCTCTCTCTCTCTCTCTCTCTCGCACGCACGCACACAAACAATCACACCCACCCCCTACCCCTCGCACACCGACGTACGTACAAACTCACTCACACATAACCACCCGCATACTCTGACGTGCATACACCAATTTTAATCGTTAAATAAACTTAAAAAATACAGCTAGTCTCACCCACCCACCTGACAATGGCTGAATTGTTCATGCTGAAGACGAGAATAAGGGACAGAAGATGCCACCCCAGAGCCAGCCATGCTGTCCTGCCGAGTGGTCAAACCATGACTGTCCGTGTTTTGACCGTTCTGCTTAAAAGACATCTGATCCTGAGACTGGACGTTGCGGGCAGGAGGGGGACGCATAAAGGCGGCCAGGATCCTAACCACTGCTTGGCATTTTTTCTGGCGTGCAAGGTCGATAGGACTGTAGCCTATGGGTAACGTTGAGAGGGAGAAAAATATTGACTGATTGACTCATTCATTCATTCTTTCATCCATTCATTCATTCAGTTACTTATTCATTTAATCATTAATTCAATTATTATTACTTTTATTTATTCAGTCCATTAATCGTTCATTCTTTCATTGATTATTTATTTATTTACTTATTTATTTATTCATTTATTTATTATTTATATTTTTCATCCTGTCTTTCTTTAACTTTATTAATCACAAAATTTTTATGAACAGCATATTAAAGTATGCTTTTTTGCAGAATCACCGTTTCACCTGGGGGGTTGTTTGGAAGGGTGCTCCAAGGTTCTAACCGGACAGTTATGCCTGTCACTCAAGTTTGCAAGCAATCTAATTACAAAGACCAGCATGTACCTGTTAGGTTTGGCAAAATTGACTATTGGTTTAATAGAGGCAGAATGTAACAGATTGTTGGCCTGAATATTTGCAGTTCGTAATTGTTGCCATACTACTTTGTGTGCACAGTGTGGCAACCCTTTCGCCATTGTATACAAAAGGGCTTTAACTCAAAAGACTAGAAACAGTAGCGTATTCTTTATTATTTCCCTTTTAATACAAAAGTTTGAAACCCCAATTAAAGAAGGGTGAAAACTCAATTCTTAGTTTGCTCTTTGAAACCACAATAATAATAATAATAATAATAATAATAATAATAATAATAACAACAACAACAACAATAATAATAATAATAATAATAATAATAATAATAATAATAATAATAATAATAATGATAATAATAATAATGATAATAATAATAATAATAATATAATGATAAGGCAATTAAAACATGTTCTGTATTTGTACCATTAATATAATGCTTGTGTAACAACTCAATGTCCTCTCCAGAGAAGAGAAATCGCCACCCTAGAATCTGCACAGTACTTAGTTTTGAGAAATTTGACGTCAAACATTTTGAATTTCACAACATGTTAAGCCTTTGTTAATGCAATTTATTTGAGTATTTTGATAACGACTCAGAATTATCTTACAATTTTGATAGAGCAGGAAGAGTATTCGGTTCCTAACTTCATAGTCTTAATAATTCAAAACAGCCAAGAATGTCATGTAGAACCAGGGGCGAAGCGTCTATATAATCAAATAATCACTGCTTCCCTTCCTAATTTTGAAACATTGTCGCTGTCAAATTCATCCATAAACGTAAACCTCTTAAATTAAATGTCAAAAGACGTTCGTAATCAACAATGAACAGTATGCCTAACATTAAAAACGGCCACAGAAATAGCGTCCTCACCCCTCTCGGGCCACTCCATAAGCAGTCGCAAGCTTTGATTAAGTAAGCTTAAAGTGAGGCTGGAAGAGTCCACCAATATAGTTGAAGGGAACATAATAATAGGCATAGCAGTCTAAGCTGTTTCATTGCCACATATACCCTGTTCACCCCTTTGGGGTCACAGTTAAAATCAATCTCAAGCCCTGATTATGTAAGCTAACTAACACTGGTCGAGTCTACCTCACAAATGTGAGGGGAACTAACTCCTAACAATCTCTTCACTGTTGTAAGTACTTGCTTTTTTTCCTCGACTTTTTACCGTCCTATGATCAGATCGTGACCTCGATTATGACACCAGCTCCTGGCCGCGGAAGGCTAACAAAAACAGCCAAATGTAAAATTTAAAAAATGATAATTGTCATGTTCTACCAAAGAGTTAGACTCACTGGTAGATCTATAACATATAGATCTAGTACTGACGTCTCTGCTTCTTTGCTTTGTGTTTATGTATTCACATCTAAAGTTAAATTTAATTTTAGTTGGAACTGATATTTAATAAGATACTTTCCCGATCATTTTGGCGGTTGAACATACAATATGAATTCCGGAATTGTTTTCATTCACAACTCAGAGTCGCCGCCTCGAGTAAGATTCTTGTGTCATATCTACAGGCCATATCTGGTCCCGTTTCACTTTGATTACCCTGTCAAAAAAGTCAGCCTTCGCCCCTGTATAGAACTTTGTGCTACTAGGATAATGTAAAATCTATATTCCTCATTTCTGTTTAGTAGCAACCTTGGCTTTTTATATCAGTCTAAACCAAGGAGCTTAAAACAAACCTCCTTGGTCTAAGCCCAACAACCTAACCACGAGACCACCGCTGCCACAACAATACATCTGTTTTACACGGGAAAGACTAATTCCCATTTAGGGGGCAACTCCTGGGGCAAAAGTAAGGAGGGCTATGACAGCGTCTTACCAGCGTCTATTGCGCAGCAGTTAGGTGCTTCACCGTCGCACGTAGAGTCTTGAGTTCGATTCTCGAGAAAGTAAAACTTTCAACCAGTATCTGAATCTTTCTACTGGGATGTTGCATCCTTTTCAGTCCTGGTGGGATCTGTCATGACAGGCAGAGTCGAAGCCCACTCCTAAAAGATCTAAACTATGTCGATAGGGGCGTAAAACCTCAACATTAATAAACAAGTTCTCTTCGAGAACAAAGTCAGACTGACATCGGTTGTCCATATGCAAATTCCGTAAAACTGTAACAAAAATTAAAACGAAAAAAACCCACACAAACATCAAAAAGGCTGCCTGTATGCATGCTCGTACAATACTCACCGTGATAGTTCAAAACCTGAAGTGCACGCGCCATATCCGGATGTGTGAGCAGCTGTTTCACAATGGCTTCGTTCCCGCCAGTTGCAGCATAATGCATGACGTTGTTTCCGGTTCTGTCTGCGAGCATGACGTCATACAGCTGCGAGGTCAGGAAAGTAACGACGGGCTGATTCTGAGAGATACAGGCGTGCATGGCCAGGGTTCGACCCACGGCGTCTTGTTTGTCCATGTTGGGGGACTTGCTTTGCGCAATTTCTGGAGGTGGTGAAAAAAATGTTAGTTTGAGTTTCAGTAAGATTTTACAGAACTTGTAGAACGATCAGGTCATAAAAATGACGGAGACCAGAGGTGTTACTAGAGAGTAACGTACAATGAAAAGAAGGAGGAGTGATAAGCACGATAGAAAAGAAATTATTTAGAATATTACCAAGCTGCTTGACTTTGAGTGTCTCCTTAACACAATCAAAACTGATCAAGACTAATCCATTTGTCGAGGAGAAAAGTGCTTGTATTAGACAGGTGAACGTTTTGGACAGTATTATTATGATGTTTTAATTACTGCCAGGAGGGAATTGGGAAGTTGTCGTCTGTACAGATGATTGTCTTGGACAGGTGACCGTTAGTAAAAGTTCGATTTCATTTGTCTTAGTTTGTGTTGCAAGTGCTAACTGAGTAGAAGAGTTCGTTTTAAAAGCAAACTTTTTGTTCCCCTTACCGGATTTCAGAAACTAGGATTACCTGTAGAACATCAAGAGGGCTAAGAAAAAAAATCGAAACCCTCCCGAGTCGTAGACATCTCACCCTGCAAACCAATTTCACAACAGATTTGCTCACTTTGAAAAATAAAGTAAGTCTCTGGCGACAGGTGGACACCTCGGCCGAGATAGATTGCTTAAATATCGAGACTGTGGTTACTTTCGTCTCTCTTTGCTTGATTGATTACTTGTTTCTAAGTGTTTTTATTCTTTACTTGTCCATTTTTTAGGGGTATCTCATAACGCTGGACTTTTTTTTTGGGGGGGGGGGGTTCTTCTTTGGTTGTTTTATCATTTTGCTTTATTGCTTGAATGTAGTGTTCTTTGAATCGTTAATAATATGGAAAACATAAAGTGAAAAGTATCAGGGAAAACAAGTACTAGCCACAAGCACTGCCCTTAATTTAAGTGAAAGAGCAATTTTATGATAGAGGTTCCAAGTCATTATCTTAGGCGACGAATATCAAAGAGAAGCATTAGACCTTCCTTCTTCCTTCCTTTGAGGTTTTTTTTAAAAACTGTAAATTATAGGCTGCTAAGAATGCCCAGTGTGTTCTTGCTCTTATTTAGACGCGCCTTTGGCAACTTTAAAGTTTCTTTTTTAAACCTCGTTAGTTTTTTCCAAACCTAAAACGGCCGCCATTTGCGAGTGGTTTACTGCGTCTGCATGGCAAAGTCTCATCAGTGGGGTCTCGAGGTCGTGATTCACGTCTGCTGAGTCAATGTCAAGGACATTATCCTGCAGAAGGTTGACGATGCTGTCTAGATCACCCTCCGCCAGCGCCTGAGAAAACTGGTGTTGGGCGTTGTCTGCTCTCATTTCTGTTGTGAATAAATATCAACATAAGATGAAATATCTCATAACATTAAATTATTTTAAATAGTTTTTCGCCACCCTGGAATTACAAAGTTATATCTGCTCAGTACTTGGTTTTGAAAAATTTGACGTCAAAATTTGGAATTTCACAACAAGTCAAGCTTTTTCAAATGCAAGTCTTTGAATATCTTATAAAAAAAAATCTTACATTTTGATAGAACAGATAGAACATTTGGTCTCCTATCTCAAGGTCTTGGTAACTCAAAACGACAAACAAACAAAATTTGACAGAACATTGTTATTCTAAGGTAACGATTTTTAATGCCCATTTTCATCTCGACAAGACATTCAGTGTGTATAACAGGTACGGTAAACACCTGCATTATCGTGAAAAAATAGATACCTCTTCTACTAAACAATTACACAAAAGTCAGAGTTTTACAGCATTAGCAACACAGTTATGTCAAGCAAGTCTTGTCAAAGATTAGAAGAGTTTCTAGAGTGTAACATAAAAATAAAAGAGGGGCGGTAGATAGGGACGTTATAGTTATTTGATAGAAAAGAATGAGCAAACTAAACAAGATCAGCAGCCAACCACTCATACGAATCACAGAAGCAAGAATAATTAATGGCTTGGGGTTTAAGCAGATTCACAAGAACGGTTGAAACGGAACAGCCAATAAATAGCATGTTATCGACTACCGCTGAAAAGTATATTAATGAGTGATCAGTGTCTGCTTTCATGGGCGTGATCCACCCTCTTGATGTTTTTTTCTTTGGTTTTTGTTTTGCGTTAATGTTTATTTTCATTGCAATTGGAATTCCAATAAGTAATGTATAATTTGTCGATAATTGGGTTTACTTTTTCGGTCATTTTAGCCAAGCACTTAGACAAACAGCCAAGATGGCACGAGCCGTATCTTCTATGTTCGTCTCATAACGCTGAAATAAATAGCATAGGTGGTGCGAGATTGAGGAGTTTATTGTCCTGTTTGCTGTGGTCAGATATGGATCTAAACATAAAGGGAACGGGTGGTTCAAGCATTCTATTATATTTTATCTTCGTGTCTTTCATCACTTTTAACAAGAATGCTTATGGCTCCTCGTTACTAAATCCTTGCCAAAAGACAAAACTCTCCCCGTCTTTTTTTCTTTATCATTCCTTTTTTCATTTCTTTTTTTTTGACACCTGAACGGGCGGGGGGAGGGGGCAAAGAAAAATTTTTTTTTTAAAGAAAAGAAAAAAATAATTAAAAATCGACACACGCGCAATTATACTGTTTTGCACTATCAATGGGTTGACAAACCCTTTGTTACGCGCATCCCCTCTAAAGTTATCATGTCTAAAAGGGGGCTTTAGTTTCAAGCCAGTTAAAAGCTGTATAAATAGTTTAGCCAGGCTAGCATCAGACTGAGTGGCTGACAGAAGTTGAATAATAATAATATTATAGTGAACAGGGAGACGCCAATATCAACGGATAGACAGCTGAATACTTTATTGATTTGCTTGATATTCAGAAAAATAGATACATAGACAGACAATTGTGGAATCGAAAGATAGATAAATGAAATGAAAGGCTGATAGAGAGTTACGTTTTGGTAAGAGTTATACAGAACTTGCGACACAATAAGATCATATAAGTGTCGAAGATTAGAGGTATTACAAGAGAGCAACAAACACACAAAAACAGAAAGAGAGATAATGACGATAGGTGTTTGATATGATAGACAACTAACACAAATAGATAGATAGATAGATAGATAGATAGATAGATAGATAGATAGATAGATAGATAGATAGACAGATAGATAGATAGATAAATGGATGGATAGATAGATGGATGAATAGATAGATAGATAGATAGGGAAGAATCAAAAACCGATTTGCTTTGGACATGTCAACCTTGAGGTAGATTAGTGAGCTATTTTTTCGGTTTGTTAGTTCGTACAAGTACACCGCTCGCCCCCCCCCCCCCCCCCCCCCCGACCCTCCCTCCCGCACTAAACACGCGAGCACTTTTACACATACCCACGGATAATTGCCTTTGTTGTTCACATTTCGATCCTCGGAGGAATTTCCAAATGGGTTCTCATACATTGCCTGGACACGCGGCAAATGGAACACTAACTTTGAGAATTTTAGGTCAAAATTCGTTGACTATATCTATATTACTGTTTATAACCCAAAAAAAGTAACTATAGAATTTATGATATTTTCGTTGATGGAATCGGAATATTATTACGGCGTGCAGAGCACCTAAGAAGCAACAATACTTTGAAAGGTGTACGAGTGGAAAGAAATCTAGCAGTTTGCAGATAGTACATTCTATTTACAAAGTCAAGCTGTCATCACAAAGGAGAACACACCCTGAAAACTGTATTTTAATTTTAGTTAGTGACCAGTTTTATAGGTCGTTTCTGACGCATTACATGTCTTTTCACTGGCTACATCCAGCATAATTTGTTCAAAGCAGATAGCCTTTTCTAACTCACTTGAATTTTTTTTCAGAGACAAGTTCATGATAGAATATTTCTCATGCGGTCATCATCATCATCATCATCATCATCATCATCATCATCATCATCATCATCATCATCATCATCATCATCATCATCATCATCATCATCATCACTCCTTTCTTTCCCAGCATCAGGGTATTGGCCACGAATAAACACTTTCCACCTCCCCTATCCTGGACTCTTGATATTATTTTAAGGTGATCAACTCAGGGGGAAAAAATCCAGCAGTTCAGGAAAGAGTAATCCTGAGCACTTCAAGCTATGGATACTTTCGACAGCACTTTTCTTGCACCATTGGTATACACAGAATAGCAAATTAACTCCATCCCTGGACAGAATTTAAAAAAAACAACCTATCCTATTGCAAAAATGGAACACACTTTGCTCAGATACGAAAAAAGACAATAACTTTTCAAACATGACATTAAACTTATATATTTCTACGTTTGTCCTAGAAATTCAGAGAATCTTACTGTTGTACCAGACATCCTTTTTTTTAAAATCAGAGCTTTTGTTCACCGAGGTAAACACACACTCACTTAAAGAACATCTTTAATTATGTAAGAATTGATGCCTTTTGCCGCAACACAAAATTAAATTTTCAAAAAAGCGAAATAGAACAGTTTTCAAATACGTTTAAGAAAACGGGCCCCCTCTGCTTTCATTTTATTTTGACTCTTGGAAGTCATAGGATACGCATTGATTTCAGCTATACATGAAGTCTCATCTGGCTTCATTATATGCCTGGCGCCAACATATTACATTACACTGCCATCTTCGTTAGAGTTACTTATCTGTCACATACACATGCGCACACAAACACACACAAAAACTAACCATTTGTATTTCAATATTATTCAAAGTAGGCATACGTTTGAATTACACTTTTTCTTGGTTGATTGACCAAGAATTTTTTTTAACGTGTTGTCCTTTAAATTTTTAGAATGAAATACTCAAAATACACGGGGAAGCGGACTCACAGAGGTCTTTAGATTGAGCGTCCAACTCCAAAACGTTAGGATAAGACATCAAAATAAAGCGGAGAACTGTTTGAAAAACATACACGGTAACTGCTATCGAGTCGTTAAGTTTTCCTTCATCAACTTCCAAAGATATTCTGCTAGTTCATCAATTGTAACTGGTTCCCCTGCCTATTAACTCCACTTTCAGGGGCCCATCGATTAGTTTATTGTCGTGTTGTCGAGTGTCAGACTATTTCGCGCGGGAAATTCTGTTCTTTTTGTCCAGGGATAACACTTCATCCACAAACGTTTTAACTCTTAGTATACGGAAGGTTATTTCGCCTTTTAAAAATTATAGTGTAGTCAAAAATTCGTCTAATATCTCTTTATCCGGTGGATCAATGTCACCCATACTTTGCATAGCAGTTTGTATACATTTGTCTTAACTTGATATTTTTTCACAAAAATTGAGGCTGGACTGAAAAACTTTCTTTCATAAATTTATATGAAATACTAAAAGTCTCCGAAACGCGAAAAATGGGATAGTTACCGGCACTTTCCGCTTCTCACGCACATTTTGCATACTGGCCAACATCACACCTCACCAATGACACTTTTTATGGCAAAACTTGTTTTGAGGAATTACTTTTATTGTGAACACGTTCTTGCTCTAAAAGTCCTCAAAACATGTGTTTACAAAGCATAATGTCGGGATAAGAAAGAAAAAATGACCGACTTCTTTTTAAAACTTTATTGACCCAGCTGTAAACCTTTTAAATTTGTAGAAACCACCCACTGGGATTCTTAATTAGTAAGAATATTCTAGAATTCAGCTAATAGGTGTTTACACAAATATTGAAATATTAAGATAAGCCATTGATAAGACAGGCCATTGTGCTGAAGCTGGAGAGTTTGTGTTTGATAGTTGAGGGAATATTATTATTTGACAATAAGTTGTGCGACGAATAAATGTTGACCTCACTATATTGAAAAAAGTTGCAAACATAACAATACAAGAATATAATGAAGACATTTCAATACATACATGATATTATCACAAACAAGTGTTGTATATCTATACATAATTATCTCTCGCAAACTAAGAAATTTATCGTAATATTCAAAATATTTGGAGGACTTAGAATGATTATTAGTTTAACTTATTCCACTCTTGTACGCAGACAATTCAGCATCACAAACTTCCCCATAGCTCCGCTCCTGTCTAACCTATTTGCATAAAACAAACTCCAAAACTGGTAGAAATGAATGGTCCGTGCAATGGACATACAGTTTGACTAAATATGCGACTGTTTTTTCTGTTTTAGTAAGCGTTTGACGGCACTTGCAACACAAGTAGAGCATATACTTTCCAAAGATCAGAGGTGTTACAAGACAGTAACAAACACAACACAAATGGAGGCGGGATAAGAACGACAGATGTTTGATAAGAAAAAAGGAGAAATAGCCACACCAGAGCACCCACCAACCACCCACTACAACGGATTTGCTGAGGTTTAGTAGGTTAATATCATTATTATGACAATGAACAGCCGAGCTGTACCGTGAGCCAGTTGAACTGACGTGCTTTATACTAAGAGTTAAGTTCACTTTCAAGTTTTATGATGTTGTTTCGTGGGTGTGCCAGATTCAAGCTAAAGAGAAAAGGTTCCGGTCCATATTTAAACCTCGACGTGGGGTAAATATTTACAAGAACATGTGCGTGTCCTGTGTGCAAATAGAGGCCGACTGATGACGTCAGAGAACGTGAGCATGGTGAAGACCATAAACATCACCTTTAGTGTTTGTTGACATACAAAAGAATGCTGCGTTTTAAATCGGAGATCAGCGGCTGGACTTCAAAGACATTTTTTAATTCAGGGGAAAACAGGCTGACAGATAGTTAGAACAACCGGAGCACTCTTCCTACTTAATTAAGTAGCCTACCTTAACCAACGGGATTGCCCCTTCCACTATATCTCCGCTCCCATCTAACCTATTTGCATATAACAAATACCAAAATTGGTACAAACGAATGATCCATAAATAATAATAATAATAAATAGCATTTATACTGCGCATTTCCATTTCCTAAAAGATGCTCAATGCGCATTACAATGAAAAAGACATCACATCTTAAAAATTAATCGACACAAATGTGTACGTAAAACAAAGTATTATACATATAATATAAATGCATATGTGTAAAATTTTATACCAGAAAAACAGTCTCGCAGTGAGGTTGAAAATGTGTTCACTAAAAATATACAATGCAATATAAATTCACGAACAGTCAAAATGCAGTTGAAACGTGAGTAACTAGAAACATTCATTAAAACATTAATTCTATACAGATAGAAAAACATTTCCATGCAATATAATGGTCTAATATTAGATACGTTGGGCCTTTTGTTTTGTTTCAGCAAACGCCTTACACCTCTTGCAACACAATTAGGTCATAGGTGATGCAGATTAGAAGAGTTATTATAGAGCAATAAACACAACAAAGAAGGAGAAGAGATACGGATGACAGATGTTTGATAAGAAAATAAAAACAAGGAGCAAACCACACCAGAGCATCCGCCAACCACACACAACGATGGATTTTCTGAGGTCTGGAAAGGTAATGCCTTGAGCCAGCTGAACTAGCGTGCAGTATACCAAGAGTTAAACTCACGTTCATGCTGTTATTCCCTGGCCGTGCCAGACTCAAACAAAGGAATTTCAGAGGAGAAAAGAACCCGGTCTATATTTAAAACATGACCGGGGGCAAATTTATACAAGAACATGCGTGTGTCCTGGGTGCAATTTAATGGAGGCCGACTGACTGATGACGTCAGAGAAAGTGAGCATCGTGGAAACCATAAACATCGTCCTTAGTGTTTGTTGACATACAAAAGAATGATAAGTTTGTGGATTGTTTTGCTGTGAGGGGGTTTTTTTGGTTGCTGTGGTTGTTGTGTTTTTGTATTTCTTTTTTTTTTACTTAGACTTCAGTGGCGGGAATCTCATACAATTGTGAATGCAGGAAAGACTCCGACTCAGAGATAGGCAGAAATAACAACACGCGCAGAGAAAACACACCCAATGAGTAAATACACAGATCCATAAATAAATGTTTACATTGTATGTAGAAGGATCGATGAAGATATCAATGTTGTTAGTAGGAAGATTAATAGTTTGGCTGACTGCTAGTTTGTTTGGTTGGTTTCTTGATTTCTTGCTTGCTTGCATGGTTGATTGGTTGGTTGATTGTTTGGTTGGTTGGCTGGTTGGTTGTTAAGGGGGGAAAGTAGTAAGAACGGAATACAAATATACAGTTAGATAGATAGATAAGCAATTGTTACATTGGTAAATAGCTAAGCACTTAATCTGGCAGGCAGTAGATAGGATGGCAATGTATGAAGGTAATTACCACTTTTAACCACCACTATTCTCCCCCCCCCCCTCCCCCAGGTAAACGGATAAACAGATTTAGACACACACTCACATACACATATACACAAGAATATTATGAAGTATGCACACACAAACGCACGCAAGCACACACACACACGCACACACACACACACACACACACACACACACACACACACACACACACACACATACATACATACATACACACACATACACATACAAACACATACATGTATGATGTGTATAACATATTACGAATTTCTTAATATATACTAATGTGTATAATATGTGTTTGTTAATGTGTGCCTTTAAGTGTGTGCTTGCGTGTTTGTGCAAGTGAGTTTATTGTTATGTGTATGTATGTGTGAATGTATGACTGAATATATCTTTGTATGAATGGTTGGTTAATTGCACAGGGACAAGAGACGCACGTTTAGATAATATCTGTGGTACAACATCACTGACATAAAAAAATGACAATAACAACAATAGCAAGAACAACAACAGCAACAACAACAATAACAACCTGAAACAACAGGGCCAATTGCAACAACAAGACCTTTGCATCTGGATCAAATTGACGTGATAAAACATTAATTGGTTTAAATATCTAATTAAAATGCCCCCATCTATTTTACGTTAGATTGGAACCTATTTTTGACGAATTACTTAAACCGGAAAATGTGAACAGATAATTTTATGGCATCAACAGATTTTTTTACAATAGGCAGAATAACACTCTCCGTGACTGCAACGACAGTAATACAAAGGATATGCTAGGAGTATGCTATTTTGTTTGAAACTACTGGAAAAGATAAGTTATCAGCACTTAGATACCTGCAGTCTGGGACGACGAAATGTCCTGCCTCTGGGTTTAAACTCCTGTCCCTCTGTCCACAAAGTCTGAGTCAGACTAGATCAAAACCACATCTTGATCCATCAGGAATTGTTCACAGTGACAGGTCCCCGTCTTTCGTGTTTACCGACAATCTTCGGAACCGCTGGCTCAATACAAATCCTCGGACAATAACGGTGATTTTCTCTCTACTCCTATTCTTACCCACGTCTTCACAATAGAGCTAGTAGTCCTTGCCATTGTTCCTGGGTGTGGCTTGTTGAGATACTAGGGTGCGTTCAGATTTTAGCCCGTCTAGGGTATTGATTAGCGATTGTTCAGTGTGAATTTCACATTGATGATTATATCAGCCATTGTGGATGCTGGGGTCAGTGGCCCTTGAAACGAATTACGTTTGTAGCTGAAAGGTAAACTAATATAACCATTATTGTGATAAGACTGATTAGCTCTCGGGAGCAGAGCAACTCACCTGGGAAAAACAACTGAATAGATGGGTGGTGGAGAAAGACCAGGATAATATCGTCGACAATTTTTCAACATTGTAAAGTCAAAATTTCAACAACAAAAAAGAAATAAAAGGAAAAATCAAGTATGGTGTAGTGTTTGGTAAAGCGGATCGATTGGTCCTAGTTTTTTGTGCTTAAAATAGCAACAGGTTTAGACGAAATAAACAGTTCGTCTCAACACAATGCCCTGCCTCACATAAAACAGTGGTTTGCTTTTGCCAAAAACCTCATATTTTGACATATAACATTGATGAATGACTGCGATAATATAAAGGTTTCTATACAAAGCGTCCGAGCGAAAAAAACAAACTAATATCGAACTGTGTTCACAGACATCTGTTTCCGACCTGGCACTTCATGATGATGATGATGATGACGATGACGATGATGATGATGATGATGATGATGATGATGATGATGATGATGATGATGATGAGAACCTGAGGAAGCTTACGTGGCGAAACGTTGATCCGTTTCAATAAAACACATTTCAAACATTTCAATTTTTTGGGTCTGTAATTTACATTTAATAAATCAAGGAAGACTCTCTCTCCTACTCTGCTTTTTAAACAATGATGATGAGGAGGAGCAGGAGGACGAGTAGGAGGAGGAGGAGGTGGAGGATGATCTCATTTAGAACCAAATGACACACCCGTGACACGACTGGCCACCTTATTCCTTGTGTGCTGTCGGTTCTCTGAGACTCACACACTGCTTAACAGTTTTAGATTCTAATAATTACCCTGGACTTTGAGGGCAATGACTTCTTGTTAAGTACAAGCTCTGTACGTATTGTTAGGACACCTTTGTAACGTTATATTGCGACCAAAAACAATAATTATTTATAACTGATCTTTTAAAATATTTTTTTCCGGCAGCTCGTTTTTCTATCTTTTTTTATCTTGTTCTTTGCTCTCCGTCTTCCTTGCCTTCAGTTTTTCTTTCTTTGGTTCTCACTTTCTCTCTTTCCATCACCTCCCCTTCTCTTCTTCCCCCCCTCTCTCTCTCTCTCTCTCTCTCTCTCTCTCTCTCTCTCTCTCACTGTCTCTACAATACCCCCCCCGTCTCTGTTAATCTTTTTCTCCCCCACGTTTTTTTCTCGTTCTACTTCCCTATCGCCTCTCTCCCACCCATTCCTTTTTTCGAATGCTCAGATTTTTTCTGCCTCAGCGTTTTCAGTCTTTCCTGTGTTTGTTTGTACGTTTACGTATCTGTTTTTTTCCCCCAGCTCTTGGTCTTCCTCTGAACACCCCCCAAACATTGGAAGCGGAGTTGGAATCGTTAACATCAATGATTGAAAGGTATCGATCTGTGTAGTCAGCGAGTTCGTTCGCATGGGTTAGATAGGCTGCATAAGAAGTGGGTAGCGATGGGTGATAGAGGCAACCCCTCCCCTGCAATAACCCCTCCCTCTTCCCCACCCCCCCTCTCCCCTCTCCCCTCTCCCCTTTTTTTTCTCCTCCTCCGACGAGATCGATAATTTTACAGATGCTTGTTACAGGTGATCTGGTAGGAAGCATTGGACTCCGGGTAAGTTTGTCTACATATTCCTGAAGTGGAGGTGGAGAAATTTGGTGATAGTAATTATGATGATGACTATGGTGATGATAATGATGATGAATTAGAGTGATATTGATTTTGAGGAGGAGAAGGGAAAGAAGGAGAAGGAGGAGGAGAAAGAAGAGGAAGAGGAGGAGGAGATAGAGAAGGAGGAGGAGAAAGAGAAGGAGAAGGAGGATTATGATGGTGATTGGGAGAAGGAGAAGGACTAAGAGAAGGGGGGAGGAGGAAGAGAAGGGAAGCGAAAACAGTTAGGAGGAAGAGCAGGAAGAAAAGAAAGTGAAAGAAGAGAAGAGAAAGTGCACACGGATGCTCTGAATTTGAAGGACGGGAAGGAAATGAATGTAGAAATGAAAATGGACGAAGAAGGAGAATAATGGATAGAAGGAGAAAGAGGAAAGGAAACACAACTGACATCGCTGCAACACCAATAGCAACTACCCTGAAGACAACGAATGCTAAAACAAAACTATCAATAGCAATAAAAATATCGGAACTACCTGATCGAAAGTCGATATTTTATATATAATGCATTTTTATACAATTCAATAGAATGGCTGGCGAGAAATGCCGTACTGAGTCAGTAATTATGCTTGCTAACATCTGGTTTACTGAAAACAGTCTTATTATAACTTTGCTCATAGATGTACAATTTTTTTAATGGCAATGGAGCGGTATGACTTACAGTTAAAAAGTAAATAATGAAGGTTGCATTACAATTGGATGAGGCACAGAATAATTAATTTGGAAAGTTTGTTTATTTGTTTTTTGTATAGATTTAACGCCCCTCCCAATACTGCAGGGTTAATTAAGAGGCAGACCTCCAATTTAACCCCTGGTTTCAGAGATAAAGTTGGCGAGAAAATGGTCCCCAAACTGTGGTATCTTTCAAAGCTCGAGTGTCCCTGGAAACTGCAGGGTTTTCTAAAATTTCATTTAGGTTGTTTTAGCAAAATCGACACAAAAAAGAGTTTTTAAATGGGCATAAAAGGTGTTGAGCCACCAAAAAATACATAAATGAAGAGATAGATAATCCCTAAATAGCAGAGAAATGTTGGTTTCCTTGATTTCATCATTTTAACTAGAGCGTGATTTCACCATGAGGCCATTATGAAGTTTATTTGTAAGTTTCCGGGCATCTCACCGTGAATCCATATAACGTTGATTATCATGTGACTCTCGGTGTTTCTGGGAAAAGAACATCGATCTTCTTCATACTGACCAATTTGACGTCCCTTTTCTTGAGTTTTGGTTTAGCTTCAGTACTAGTGTTACGGCATTTGCAATACATTTAGGATAAAAATTGTGCGGAATTGCAGAGGTGTTTATTGAGAGTACCATACAAAGAAAAAAAAGGAGAGAAAAGTTGTAGTTTTAGTAAGAGTTTTACGGCACTTGCAAAACAAAAAGGCCATACAACGGACGAAGAGTATAGATGTTACAAGAGAATAAAATCACTATAAAAGAAAGAGGAGAGATAAGGACGATAGACGTTTGATAAGGAAGAAAGAGCAAACAGCACCTGCAGTGCACCCGGCAGCCACCCATTGTTGACCTTTGTTCGTTCGAAGTTTTGTTAATATCGGTGCAAAGGTGACAGGGTAACTGCCCTTTAAATAGGTCATTTTTTCCAGACACAGTGAAAAAAGCTAGTAAGTTATTGTCTTAGCCCAAGGTAAAAAAAGAAGTGTGCTCTTCAGCATTTTACCCCTTTCCACTAGGTAAAAAGTGGAAAAGAAAAGAAAATAGAAGAAGTAAAAATCGAAGAAACTCAAAGAAACCCACACAAAGCAATCAGCCGGATGGAGCATAGTGTTGAGCATAAACAGCCATATAATCAATATGTGAGGCACCGCGGCGAAATCACACTCTCGTCAAAATAATTAAATCAAAGAAATCGGCATTTCTCCCGTAGTTGGGCAATTCATAACTTTTTTTTTGGTGGGGGTTAACATTTTTAATGTCAATTTAAAAACACACATTCTGAGTGGGTATTTACTAAGAACCGTTAACCAAAGGCACAAAAACAGTGCAGCTTTGCAGTTTCCACGGACGTTCAAGCGTTTCAGCAAGTGAACTTTGGCGACCATTTTCTCGCTAACACCATGCGACCCCCCC